ATCCAACTTCCTTCGCTGTATCTGCATTCACAGTTTCATAAGCTGTTACATCATTGGCACTTCTTGCAAAGATGGATCTGGATCAAAGGGGGTTCGCAGTTGTAAACATTCAAGTAAAGCTTTGCTATCTTTATCATCTCTTGTTTGTCTTGTCAGGGTCGTGTCAGGTTGTTGGCATTGACAATGATCATTGTGTACATTGAGAACCATCCTTTCCACAACTCCTAGTTAATTAATCTGTCGTCTTCATATTTCTCATTGCAGTGTTTTTCTAGCGTGGAAATTGTTAATTGACAGCGTAGCAGAGGCACACCATTTTGGCTTTTATTTTACTTATCATATGATGCTGGACAATGAAGATGGCTTGGTTTCAATTTGCCTTCCAAATACAATAACCTATTACATGAAAATATGAAATAATTTGCACTGCTATTTCAGTACTTTGATACATGTGTGCGTGAAAACGACTTTGGCCTTATTCAAATTACACAACAATAACATTCAAACATAAATATGGAGTGCTAAATATACCTTGGTAGCTTAAAGAATTCAATGATTCAGAATTGCATGTAACCTAAACTTTGAGTAGTAACCAAAATATTCATTTGCATATTAGTTGTAGACAATACCAATTTCATTTGCAGTTCATATGTCATAACAAATATAAGGGGCAACCAAAACACAGTTATGATAATTGATGTGAAATTTTAAGCCAGCATTGTTTCCTTACTTGATGAATACAAGATTTGAACATGGCAGCCATCTTGTAAATTACCATGGTTCTTTATCATTATACACCCACTCGATTTTGTAAATAATACATTGGATTTTTACATAGGAAAAGCATCATCACAGTTATTTAAAATCCTGTTAAATTGTCCGTTAATACTATTTTATAGTTATAACGCAATAGAAACAAAGTAAATGTTGGTGGCCATTTTGAATTTATTCAAATTAGATTTTTCCCCCACTTACAGTTTTTTACATTTTTGATATGTTGATATGTGATAATTATGGGCCATGTTGCCGCAAATAAACTTGTTTGACTGGACTTCTGATAAATATAAAGGCGTGGTCTCAATTTGCCATATTGAATACTTGGTACTAATAATCAAACAACTTTCCTTGACACTGAAATGTTCAATGTGTTTTCATAGACATACACATTGACCTATCTATATTATTGTTCTATGATTTGAGTGCGAGTTTCAAACATGATTTGGTTTTATAATGCCGCAGAAAAGAAAAAAAGTAAAGAGACAAAACACGTTTTTCGAAACATTAACAACACTGATTGTTAGCTGTTGTGAACCACACCGAATTTACTTTTCTTCAGTGAGAGTCACATTAATTACATTGAAATATATTTATAGATATAATACTCTCTAAGAAAGTTTGAGTGGTTTTTGAACAAAATCAAATGTAGAATACTGTTAACAGCACAAAATAGTTATATAGTATTCTTGTACAGTACTTTGATTTAAAACGACACAGAATGGAACCCGATCCAAACAATTTTGCCATACATTGGTAAATATTAAATTACGGCTATCATCTCGAAATGATCAAATCAAATCTGATGGAGGTTTATTCGAGGAATGCACAAGCAATCTGACTAACAGTTCTCTGCGTAAAGTGTTCTGCATATTCCCACAATTTCCACATATCACTACTCATCGCCACAAACAAGTTAAACAACATTAAACCGTTAGGAAAACAGTGTTAGAACAGTGTTCGGAACAGTTTTTACATGCGAGCGGTTGTAGACAAGTTTACGACTATGGCACTGACGTCATACATTGGACGACAAGCATTTTGCCACCACTATGACTTCCCCTTCACTTTATTACAGCCACGTAAAACAACATCTAGATACTATGCTATCTAAGTGAGATATCCTTTACATTACGGTGCTGATGTGCTGTTTCATCATTCATGTACATTTTATGACTATGTTTTGTTATTTATGTTAGACCATTTTCACATACATCTTGAAAATAAATCATGAAAGTCGCACTAAAATTTAGTTATCGACATCGCAAGAAACAAGAAATTGAAGTGCTCATTATCCTAATCGTGGTATAAGTTTTTTTCACTCGATTAGAATTTTCAAGCTATGCTAATCTAATTAATCACCAATCTCATCGAATTAGGTTTGCTTTATTTCTCATATATATACACCAGAATCCAAAATTGGAAAACAAATTGGTATCAGCACTGTGAGTTACGATTGGAACAAAAACGGTGACAATAATCCAATTAATTGAACACAATAAATATAATTGTGATAATAACAGTTTTATTTTACATTTTGTGTATTTTGATAGTATATCTATATGTGTTTAGTGTATTTGTAAAATAAGAATGATATCAAGCTATATGCAAGCAGTGTGTAGCTCCGTGTGTAGCTCGTTTCAGTGTTCTAATGCGAACTGGAACGCCGTATTACGAATTTGTAAAAAGAAAAGATTCTTCTTCAGGCTGGAGATGTTCAAATTGGCTGTATGCAAACATGAAAATAAAAACAGCGTCTATCAATAAAATGAAATGGTATTTATGGTACTACGGTTAAGGTACTTGGTATCATTATCGTCAATAGAGGGAGGTTCAGTAGGCCATAAAAGCCATCGCCATATAACGCCACTCCTTGCATTTTCGTTCGTTTTTTGACGCACAATTATAGTGAGTTTTACTTGCCTTAGCCATTTAAATTATTATAAATCATCGGTATTATTATGTTATCTCAATTAACAATATAAGCTGAAACCCAATATTGTATTTGTATTTGTAATAATATTTGTAGTGATTTAGCCATATTTATGTTTTCTGAAACCTGTGCCTGCCATGCATAAAAGCATCTCATACCATACAATTTGTTGCAGGGTTTAGAATTTATATTCTTGCTATACATTGTGTGTGTATCACTTCAAGGTAGCAAAAGTGGAAAATCGAAAAAAATACATTATTCAAACAATTTAATATTGAATTTTAATATTAATCACTGTTGTATTGTTTCGTTGCTCACTCAAATTTTACTATGCACGATGATTTTACTGAGTAATTTTGGTTTATTTACATAAACCGAATTATGGGTAAACATACATTTACATACCAGTTCGGGTGACAACTGAAAACAAAGGATTTCATTCGCATACTGATTTGTTGTCTATCCAGCTTTACTATATCATGTGTTTGTTGCAGAGGATCCCACGTAAAACCCCTATTATTTGTAGGTTCATAGGAACGTATGTAACTTAATCTCCTGAACAAATATTAACACAAAAAATACAAAACATAGACATGACCATAGCTGCATGCTAAAAGAATGACGAGGAATGTTCTAATCACAATGAAGTTAATAGTCCACCTTCCCTTAATTTAAATTGTAAGGCAAGTAAAAATACATTAGAATAACACCTTTCCATATTTCATGAGTTACTACGATCCGAAAAAACAAAATTTGTTCATCTTTGAATTTATGAATACCTAAATTATTTGTTGTCTTTAATTTTTTTCTTTAAAGGTAATTGATGCTCGAAGATTTTAGTAATTGTACGAGAGTTCAGACTGGGTGTAGCTGATTACATGCACCAATTCCACATACGGTCAAACAGCCCGGTAATAAATTCTATAAAACTCGTGATAACACATATGACATTTCTGTTTATTATACTACAACTAACCCACACTACGAAAAATTGTAAACATTTAACTTCCAACTGTTCCACAAATATTATATTACAGAAGAATATATGTCTTAAACAACAATTAATCAGCTGCAAAAGAAGTGATATATAATAGCAACAGCTACATCTGATATGTATCAAGTCTGTAGAATTGTATATTAAATAGGTGACGCGACATTAACTTAGTTCTGATTGAATAAAATAATGGACTCAACATCAATGAAGTGAAAGAATTTGCTTCATTATATCTTTGTGGTCATGCAATCAGTCTGTTGCATTGAAAATGGAATATGTTGCTACGTGGTTAGGTGGTTATATAAAACAAATCTCGTGTCCTGAATCCTTTATGATTCTAAGAAACACGTTAATTATTCCAGGTAACTTTCGTCAAGAATCATCCACATTTGTAGGTGCAATACCTGGTGCTATTACATGTATGACAATAACATTTCAGCTGTAGCTTATTCTCTGATTTGTATTCCCCACTTCATAGATCATATAATTGTGATGTGTCCATACGACTGTCTCCACATTACATATAGTATATAGTTAGTATTGTTTCATCTTGTGCCATGACACCATATACGACATTACAGAGACAAAAATAATAATATTAATCACAGTGAAAATTGTTCAAAAAGCCTCAAAATTTAATTTAATACAACACACGAATGTTCGTTATTGGTAACGAAAGAGTTAAATATAAAACCACACTCAAGTTTCATAATTGTTGTGTTCAAATGAAGGGGATTTCAACATGTGAATGTCAAAACGAACAAAATGTTCTGGTACAAATGAAGTTTAAATAAACAAAACTTTCTTTTTGTTCATTTTTTGTTATTGTACATGTTTCAAGAAAAGGTTCTTCACTGTACTCATTTGAAAATTCAATAAAGGGTTTATTTGCCTAGGTCACATGACCACATACAGTTTGTATCTTACGCAACATCGATTTTAAATACGTGTGAATTATGAGCTGTCATGATATGTATAGTTCCATTTTTGTTAAAGCAATTCTTCTATGAAAATAAATATAATGTGAATTCCACTTCCTTGAAAACACTACTACATTCTTAAATTAAGTACATAAATAGTACAGTACATATATATATATATAAGTGCGAAAACTCAGTATGCAATGAAGTACAGAAAATCAAATTACATCTCGAATGGTTCAATTATTAGGTAGTACAAAGAACAATGTTGAATTGCGTGGCATAAATCATTATCAATACAGAAAATGGGATTAATTATGTGAATTGTAAGAATTGCTCACATAGTCACAGTAAAATGTCTAACAATGACTGGGAGATGTCAGCAGTCATCATAATCATATCGATGACTCTGAAATGATGACAACATTTGATTGGGAGTAAGATATGTTACTGCGAATAAGTTACTATATTTGCAGTGACTTGCATCGCTAAACGCTTGTAAGTTTGTTGGCACTATATTTGCTTTCTGTAAGAGATGACCTACGTGGACATCTTCCCACAGTAAAGGAGACGTCTCTTGAGCAGCATTCCATAACCTCCTTACTACATCAATAGTCATGATATAGGTTGGTCCTTCTACATACGTGGGAAAGACCTTATGTGGCCAAACGTCGTACGGAGTGTATGAATCACTTTTTACATTTCTATCTGGTTCTTTTAATTGGAGAACATTGCCAGCTATCAGGTTAGATTTTGGAGCTGAATTTCGTAAGTATGGTAATATATTATTATAAAGCAAATATGACGCATCATTTGTTCTGATTACGTAATTAGCTTCTGTACAATAAACAGCTACCCAACGAAACATAGCGATGGTTTTAATAGTCTCGTTATATGAATGGTCCAGAAATTGAGCAATGACGATATCGTTATGTGAACTAGCTTCCTGTGTCATTAAGTTCTGTTCAGTCACATTCTGAGTCTTACCAACAAAAAACAGACATACAATGCTAAATCCAAGTCCATCATAAAACTGTCCCCATGTGTTTCGTATCGCATTTCGTGCATTAACATTTCCAGGACGACTTGCAATTAGAACAAGTATCACGTCATTAACTGAATCTGGTTTAACACAAACTTCAGGGGTCGAATAAAAATTTAAGACCGATGATATGACGGGTTTTCCCGGGTATAAAAAAGTTGAATTTTCCCGATGTTGAGACCCGTTTTTATTACAGACGATATCTTTAAAATAATGGAATTTATACCAATAGCGATAAAGGTCACCTGGCTGAGTTTTATGAATAGCTATGACGTCACGAATGCCGCACAAATATTTTGTTGTGCTCGTTATATCAAATCGCTCGTCGCGTTGTGGTGTTATACCCACATTCTGTGCCATTATACCAATAAATACATCCTCGTTTGAATTATTTTTTTCATTAAATGAAGCGTTATATACTTTGTTAGCAACATCCATTGACATAATATAGCAAGGTCCAGCGTTGTAAGGGGGGAACACATGGTGAGGCCACATATCATACGGGGTATAATTCTTATGTTTGGGATTCCGTTCGACTGGTTGCCTGAAATAAGTTCGGCCGTAATAGACACCCGTCAATGGGGTTTCCCTAAACACCGCTACCAGGTTATCAAAGTTAACAAACACATCGTCATCAACTTTCATGACGTAAGTTGCTGTAGAACAATATATTGATGTCCATTTCAACAACATGACAGTTTTTAAAGTCAGGTTTGCATAGCTGTCATGGTGCGCGGTTTGAATAATATCGTTGAATCGGATATTCTCAGTCAAAATTCGCCTCTGTAAATTTACATCATGTGTGTTTCCCACCAAAAACATAGTAATTATTTCAAAATGGGGGAATGACTTTTCATGTGCATACCATGTATCTCTTATCGCACGTCTTCTCAAGAAGTTACCAGGTGAGCTTATGACGACAACATCATATCGATTCTATGACGAGATTGCGACAAACGTTTTCATTAGTAATCAGAAAATTGAAATCAT